TAAAAGGCCACTCTAAAATGTGATTGATTGTTCTGGATTCAGTACTTCTTCTGAAGGCTAAGGCTGCCTTTGATAATCTAGGCTAGTTTTTCATATTCATTCCCTATGACTCTGTAAAATGTTCTTTGTAGGTTTCTGGGACATGCATACAGTATGGCTGCTGTACAGTATTAGTTATCACTACCTCAAAAAGAGCCAAGAACACTATTGTTTCTGGCTTGTCATTCCTTTTTAATACCTTAAGTGAAAAAGCAAATAGGATTTGAAGCCCTGCAAACGTGACTGCTCTCAGGGACATTGCTTTGTCACTTTACATTAGACACACTCGAATGGATTTCCTCTGACTAACCTATAACTGTGTCCCACTGTAGTTTGTGTACGACCATTTGGCATTTGCAAAATATTATTTTTATTTATGAATCTATTAACATTATTCCTAGCATGAAGAAAATAGCTGATAGTGGTATTAAATGTGATTGCCAGACATTTATTTTCCTGAAATACTTCCCATTTCTTAATATGAACTTACCTGTGCACAGAAAACGGAGAACCTCGAACTGACTTTGTGTATCGGAAATGATTTAAAGAGATAGTGCCTTTAAAAATCAGATACTCACCTTCATGTCATTTCAAAACTGCAATGGGCCATTCACACATAAAGTGTTTTTGCATTTAAAAATGTGAGACTGTCAGGGTCATGTTTTGTTTCTTTGTGTTTTTGTTTTGTTTCCTTTCAAATGAGTTCCTGTGTCCTTAGTTACAAATTCCTCCTTGTTTGTTACTGATTAGTCCCACCTGTGCCTAGTTTAGTTCTCTGCGCATTTTAGGGTATGTTTACACGAAAATGATGTACGAAAAACAGAAACGTTTTTTCTTTGCGTTTTTGAAAGGTTTCGCGTACAGACGACAACGTTGTGATGATTACACAATATTCACAAAATGGCAGTAAATTATTCAAAATGTATTGAGTCTCCTTAATTCTTCTTTTTTTATATATATATATTTTATATATATATAAGCCACCTTCAGTTCCTTTACGGTTTCCTGCCATTGACAGAATTTCAAGCTTTCCGTGTTTTCACTGTTATACGGCTATTACACATCTTCTGAACCAACTCAAAATCTCCTGATCAAAACACAGGCAAAGAAGGAGCAGAAACAAGCGATAAAAGCATTGCTTATATGTCTCTCTAGTCTTTGAAGAAAACACGATTTTCTCAGCTTTTTGTTTCGAAATGTTGCTTCTTTTTTTTTTTACTTACCCACATTCAAGTGTTGATAAAAAAACGAATGCATGAAGCTATAATAAAACGTATAGCAAAGGCTCTGTTCTTTCTTTTGATATATGTTCAAAAGATGTTCATACAACAAAATATTCTGAAGGTTTTTGAAAATGATCAAAAATGTTGGCGACTCTTTTAAAAACGCTGGAGGGGAAAGAGTTAACAAAGCCCTATTTTTTTTATACTATTAAGACATTACGTAATGCAGTGTTTAATGCACGTTGTGTTGTTGATAAAGAATGGAATAAAAGTTCTTTGTATTTTTAAATCAATATGGCACAATATTATCTTATTCAAAAACAAGTAATCTAATAGATTACTTACTAATATATTAAAATGAGTAATCTAATAGACTATCATGTAATTTGTTTTTAGTGTTTTTGTTCCACTAAGCAATCCTAGAGACAACTTCAGATTAAGTAGGCCTACTATGTGATTTGTATAGTTTTTAAGGACAGATATCTTGCTATGAAGTATGCAGTAAGGTTGCTTTTTGGCCAGCTTTATATTTCTAATCAGCCTTTCTGGAAGCTTCCAGGCGTTACCCCATCAATCAAATGTCTGGATGCTTTTAGACTCTTTCCTTTAAATGCGATCTCAGGTACTGCTGGGGACATTCGCCCTTATTAAAGATGGCCTGTATTGATCTGTGATAGCCACCCTAGGTTGTCTCTCAGATGGCCCTCTTTATATCCAGAAATTGCTGGATATTGATTGCAGAATGAGAAACTGAGGAGATGTTGATAATCTTATCCTCTGTGGAAAAACCAGAGAAACACCAGGGACTAAAGGTCTCCTTGTTTCCCTTCAAATATGGTTTTTCACCGTCCAATTCAAATGTTGGCTTATGCACTAACAATTGCCTCTATAGCACCGAGGTGTATATGCTGATGAAAAAATGAACTGCTGATGATATCTTACCTGGTGTTGAGACCAAGACTTGTGCACGACGACGCATCTCGGTGTCTACGGGGATTCGTTTGAGACGCACAGAGGCCTGAACACCTCATGAGGAATGAGGAAACCTTATCTTACTCCACCCTGGGAAGACAAAGTAGAGGTTAAGCATAAACATGCATGGGATAAGAAAGTGTGAAAACAATATAGAAACACAATATGTATATATCTATTTATATCTGTTCTAATTATTTCTTTATTACCTTCATAATCATTTTATTAATGTAATATGATAAAAGGTCTATTAACACATAAAATATATGATTACAAATATATAATGTTATATATATATATATATATATATATAATATGTTTTAATCAATACTTTTAAAATTGTGTGTATGTAATATAATAAATACATATATAATATACATTTAAGTTGAACATATGACATTTAACATAATAATAACGTTTTTTTTATATTATGTATTAAAATATAAAACATATGTTATCATATAATGTAATTATTGTTACATAAAGTATTTCAATAATAATAACATGCATGTTAAGCATTACCATGTAATATGTGCTATTTTTGTTAATCAAAGTTGTATATCAAAATGTTTAACATGTAATCATCATCACCATAACCATCGTGTTTAATAAATATGAACAAGTTATACATTATTATATATTATATTTGCTATGTTACATAAATATATTTCAATAATAATAATTATAAGAATGTTAGGCATTTTATAATAAATGATAAACTATTTCCTGATTTTTAAATCGTTTTTTTTTATAATATAATATAATTTTTATATGGCCTAATATAAAAA